GACCAATTTGTTTATACAAGAAATAAAGAATTTTGTTTAATCTTTCATGGTTGATCATAAAAGAAAGAATTGTGGTAATTGATCCCTTAAGCTCATCGGAATAAGAAGTGTGGTATGATGTTGTACATTAATTTTAACTTTAATTTGGTATTGCACATAGAATTAATTGTACTCTTATTGAGTTTTCCCAAAAACCCTCTACGTAATAAATATTTTCTTTCCCTACTTGATTATAAGTTATAACTTACCGCGTGGTGTCCTAGCATTTACAGTTTGAGATACCTTTCACTTCAAACAAATTTATTAAATTCAAAATAACATTAAAAAAAATTCTTATAAAATAAAAAAATATATAGGGAATATGACTATTGTATTGAAGGGGTGTTTGTTTTTAATTTGAGAATTGATTCTCAAATCAATTCTCATTTTCAACCACACATTTTTCAATAAAATAATATTTTCCATTACATCAATAATTTATTCTTGTTTTTCAACCACACATTTCTCATCATATTACTATTCAAAAATCAATTCTTCTCTCAAAAATCCCTACCAAACACACTCTTAGTTTAGTAAACTTGTATTGTAACGTTATCGTAATGTGTTAGCATAAAATGGCAAACAAAAAATTATATTTTAGTTTATTGTGATTTTACTTTGATGTAATTGATATTTAAATTTGTAGTAGATATATTTAGTTTGTTTTAGATTTATTGCTAGTAAAATATAAATATATATTGAATTCAATTAATTAATGTCATAAAACTAGACAGACAAAAATATATACGCTAAATCGGCGGTTTAAAACTAGACCAAACCGTTCGATTTAGGTTTGAGTTTTTTTTTCAAATTATTTAAAATGGTTTGGTTTAGGTTTGAGTCAAAAATCGGTAAAATCGGATCGCTTACACCCTCACTTCGTAACGAAATTTTCATATGGAAAGTATCATCATCAATAACATATGTTAATTAATTAAAAGTTGAGAATAATTCTGCGAAAAAGAAAAAGTTGAGGACATGAGGATGGTAATGAGTAAAATTTGAGAACATTTATTACATTTAAAAATTACCCTTGTGGTAATAGACTAAACTATTGGGTAATTATATTCAAACCTTATTTTTTGTTAAATGCACAATATTTTATTTGCAATGAAGATCCTTAATTTTGGTTATTTTGACGCTTGTATCTCCAATTTTTTTTTTCTATCGCATACTTATCTTTCTTTAACCTTCAATTAATTAACCCATCTTGTCCCTAGTGAAGATTTCTATCTAAATATTCCGTTTGACACCCTTTTTTTTCAATTTTTTGAACAGGAACCTGAGTTATGTGTGGGCCCCAATATCCTTCAACCTGTCAACATGTCCTGACACCATTTCATTACACGTTTTTGGGGTACAAAAGCTGGTACCATTATATACGTAAATCCCAAAAATGCCCTTCCATATGAGGGGTGTGCTGGTACCATTATTTACGTAAATCCCAAAAAAGCCCTTCCATTTGAGGGGTGTTGTCCACTAGTGCAAATGTAGTGGAGGGCAAAATCGGTAGTTTCTCGGCAACGGTCAACTGGCACGAAATATGTACTCTGACAAAATAATTACTGTTTCTATTTTTTAAGTACAAATTCACTGTAGCAAAATGAAAATTTCCCAAAAAAAGGAGATTCAAACGGGGTTCTAGCAAGAAAAAAATATTTTGTCAAATTTTTGTACTTATTATTCATCTTGTCTATTTATAAATACGCAGGTCAATAATAAAGGTTGCGAATATACGACAAAATAAAATTAGGGATACAATATGGTCCTTCTTTGAAATTAAAAAAAAGTGGCATAAAAAATCAAAATCGTGATGTTGATATAATTACCATAAATTATTTAGTCAGCAATTTTTTTTCCACGAACGCTCATCTTATCCTCTCTCCTTCAACCACAAATTTGGGAACGGGCATGATCTGAACTGGTCCAATTTCATGGAGAAGCTAATCGATCTACACCAAAAGGTTCCACGTGCCACTGTGTGCATCTTGATTTTTATTTTATGCGATTAATTAATTACATTAATTCATGTAAATTCGTATAAATCAACTTTATGGCTGATATATTGGTTATACAAAAATAATTTTGAAACTTAATTAATATTAAATTACATAGCTATAATTAAAAAACATATTAAAATCGTTTGTATACGGAGTCAGGTACGTTTCTTGACCAGGTCTCGATTCATGAGGCAGAAGAGAGTTCTAATAACTCTTGTCGGAGATCAAATCCTAGACTTAGGTAACAATTAAGGATCAAGTTTACCATATCGAGTAAAGCTAGCTGCATTGGTCAAATTTACATGTTCATCGATTGGAGTAGGATATTATTGACTAGATTAAAAGATCTAGTCGACCAAAGTTTTTATGATTGTTTTCAATCAAAGACTTCGAATAATATGAAAGAAAAAGAAGATTTTTAACTAATGTACTTAAATTATTTACTTGTATTCAATAAACTAATCACCTATCAACTACATCGTCATATTAGTTAGTCAACTAATGTTGCTCCAAAGGCACATCTTCAAGTGGTAAAAGGGGAAGATGGAAAAACTCTAACTTTACTTGAGGCTGTCGCGTCAAGGATTCGAATTATGAAATATGGATTTGGCTTTTGGGTAAGTGCAAGTGAACAAGTAGCCTTTCACCATGTATCCTTGGAGGCATAACCTGCGATTTACCTCCTTCACCAAAGTCTAGAACAAAACAGGTGGAGGCCGTCAAGGATGCGGTTCATCATTTTTAGTTAGTCAACTAATGTTAAAATCAATGTAACATGACTCGTCCATTCGAATACCTAAGGTAGCTTTGGCACTTGTTCAAAAATATTTATAGCAATTAAACCAAGTACCATTTGAAAGTTAAAAAATGGTGTATAGGTTAGGAAAGATGCTTTGCATTCAAAACCAAATCGGTCAGATATCAGCAATGATAAGGACTAGTCACAAATGATTTACAAAAGAGCAATCAATCATTATTTTCAAACTTTCTTTCTGTACTCTCATTTTTAACTACGCATTCACACAACAAAATATTTTACACATAAATTCAGGGCTCGTTTGATTTTCATTATTGTAGAATGAAAATAAAAAATATAACCATTATCGGGCCCCACACAAGAGATAGAAATTCAAAATTGATGGTTTGATGTAATGAATAAATGTCATATTTTTCATTTTTATAGATGAAAAATGATAAACAAACAGAGGCTCAAAATTTTTCCTATTTTTTAACCGCACATTCTCCTCAAAATCACTATTCAAAACATTGTTTTGACCAAATAATGACCATCAAACATGGGCTATGTTTAGCCATCAGGTCGTAGCAGAAATGCATTCAATGACATTGTTAAGCCTTGACACCATGGTTGAGACTTCCAAAAAAATTTAAAAATTGAAACAACTTACATTCAGGTTAGCGGTGAAGAGAGAAGAATGTATGAAGGGTAATTAGCTCCAAACGATTCCATCATTTGCACTCATTATGTAAATTGTCTCTATCATTTCAAATTTGATAATTACACCCTCATTTCAAAATTTTCTTGTAAAGTTGGTCATTTCCATCTCCTTCCATCGATTCATTTGTTAAATATAGGTAATTGATGTAAAATATCATTATCATTTGCCTTCATTGCTCAAAACGTTAATTATTGTTTTCTTTCATTGAGTAAAATATTTTTATTGTATTTTCTCCATTAAAACATTGTAAAAATCACTAATTTACCCTCTCTTTAAATAAACAAATAGAAAAGAGAAATAATATAAAAATAAATAAATAATGAGCAATGCTACTGGTACATAGGCATATACATAAGCGTGTACATAATGTGAGTGGGGGTGGGATCTACGCTACAGTGTCGTGGGCTCTACTACACTCATATTATATACACATCTATGTACAAGTAGATTAATCCATAAATAATTGTAGCTAAAGTTCTAAATTTTTTTAAAAAATACACACGTAAAGGAGGATCCTTTTAGTGATGGCAATCGAGCCGAGCGGC